GAAAAATTATCAAGTTATAAAAAAGAAATCCTGTTTTCATTTCAAAGAGTTCAAAATAATATTTTTCTTGATTCTGAGAATTTTAAAAATATATGTATTACAAACTAACAAATTGATATTATTATTGATATTATCTGCAAACTACAAAAAATAACAGACATAAGACTTAGAAATAATTTTGGAAACAAACATGACACATAGCTAATTAAAGTGGCATATTTCCTATAGGAGCTATTTTGAATCTTTGTGCTGATTATCCAGGCTTTTACTTTTTGAACAAATTCATTTTTTTGCAAACTCATGAATTATACCTTCTAGTAGCACACCTTTTTTTTTTTTTAACTAAGTATGAACATGTATAATCAGAAAGAATATGTTCTTAACTAGGAAATTTTCCCATCAGATATACTCTGCCAAAATATTATCTACTTAGTCTGTTACACTGTAATCTTCAACTCTGCAGATGGTTGCATTCCTTAACATTGCCTGTCTATAATTTTAAGAAGCACTATAGTACACTTCAGGGATTTTATTTGCTGTAAAAATGGAGGATGCTTTATAAACAACTTACTTTGGAGTTCTCTCAGAGGAAGTTATTAAAGTAATAATGCTTTCAGAAGTTCCAGATTCCTCTGAATGTGAAGTATTACTGAGATTCCTAAAAATATTATATTTCATCTCAATCACTTCTTTGACTATAAAAACCACACGGACCTTATGACTTCATTTAATCTTTATTTTTCCAAGAAGATCCTATCTCCAAGTACCATGACATTGGGAATTTTGTACTTCAACAGAGGAATCTGTTAAGGTATATACAAACATTTAGTCCACAATGAACATGCTTTAAATACTTCTGACAACTATTTTTTCTCTCTCATTTTCTTAGTTCTGAGACAACCATTGCACATATGTCCGACTGCTGTGTTCCACAGGTACCAAAATTCTGATCATTCTTAAAGTTTGCTCTATTTTGAATAATGTTGACAGTTATGCCTTCAAGTTCATTGATTTTTTTATAGTTAAATCTGCGATTAGGAATTATAATTTCACATACTATATTTTTCCAATAGCATTGTAAATACGAAAGTGATCAACTGAAGAAATGACTTGCTACATCTGCATACTAAAATCAAAGAGCATTTAAGTGAAAACATAAAAAATTTAATAAACAGGAAGACATAACATTCTGTATACCAGAAGATTTAGTATTATTAAGTTGTCATCTCATTAAAAATTGATCCAGACTCAATGCAATACTAACCAAAATCTTTTTTTTGGTCCGAATGCCTTCAGGGCAGGTTTGGCTGGCTTGAGTTGTGGGGATGGAACCACAGCAACCTGAGCCTGACTGCTTTGTGGAAGCAGTCTAACCAAAATCTTAGGAGCAAATTTTTATAAGAATAAACAAAGTAAATCTGAAATAAATATGGAAATATGAAGACTTAGTACAAATTATTTTGATATAGAAGAAAATAGGAAGATTTATACTACTGTCATCAATATGCTGTGATATTGATGTAGATCTAGATAAGATTTTCAATAATAATATTAAAAAGCAGAGATATTCTTATAAGTGTTACACTGAAAGGAATGAATGTGAGAAATTTATACCATATATATACACACTGACTCAGAATAAACTTTCTAAAACATCAAGACTAAAATATGTGAGTTATTTCTCACTTTGGGTTAGGCAAAAAATTTAGGTTAAAAAATACATAATATAAAACAAAAATGTTAAGTAAAAACACTATTAAGCAAACAAAGGAACAAATCACATCGTAGGGGAAGTTATGCAAAACATTCATATAAGAAAAGATTTTGAACTTGGAACATTCAAAGAACACTTTCAACTCAGTAAGGGAAGGATAAGAATTGTAATTCTAAAAAGGAAGAGAATAATTTGGCCAAAGAAAAAAAAGCTGAGGATGGCAAATGTGATCAACAACTGCTACTGTCTGAATGTTTGTCTCTCAAAATTAATATACTAAATTCTAATCACCAACTTGATGGGTATTAAGAGTGGGTCCTTTGAGGGGGTGCCAAATAGGATCAACTAGCACCCTTACAAAAGAGGCTCAGAAATCTCTCCCTTCATCACATGCTTCTCAACCATTGGAGGACACAGTAAGAATGCATCATCTATGAACAAAGAAACTGGCCCATGCCCAAGACCAAATCTACTGGCCCCTTACTCTTGGCAATCCCAGCCTACAGAACAGTGAGAAATAGATTTCTATTGCTTAGATGCTACTCAATCTATATTTTGTTATCACAGCTTATCTGACCTAAAAAAAGTATCATTAGTACTCAGAGCTAAGTTAAATCACTAGGCAAAATTAAGACAAATTATGGACTGAAAAGAATGTAGAACCAATGGAACCATCATACATTACTGATAAACATACATCTATCAAATAATTAGGCAATCTTTATGTCTTTAAACATGATAATGAAGATATCTACAAAAAATTTATTAAATAATCATGTGGATTTATTCATAATAATTTAAAAGCTAACAAACAAGATTTTTCCCTAATTAAGAGTAATAAATTGTAGTAAAAATCCATACAATGGAACACTACTCAACAATAAAAAGGAAATGTACTGATATATTCAGTTGCATGCATAAATTTTAAAATAAGTATGATTCTGCATAATTTCCATCTTAAGAAAATCTAGTAGAAGCTAAATTACAATGCTAAATAGCAGACCAAAAGTCAAGTGCCAGAAGTCAATCCACCAGGATCAGAAGTAGTGGATTAACTGTAAAGGAAGGCAAATTTTAGGGATGATAGAAATGCTCTGTATCTTAATTATGATAACGATTATGTGGATATAAACATTTCTCATAGAATTTTATACTCAAAATTGGTGAATTCTACACCAAAATTATAGTTCAGTAAAACTAACCAAAGCAAAGGCAACACCAGTGTTTTCTCCTAAGATTGAGTGTTAGGTACAGATAAACCACTCTTACCTAAAGTCTCTGGCCACCCACAGATAAAGAAGTCTTTTGTGGATACTGCCTTGCTACAAAGTTCATTAGAGATAAGCAAAGGGGCAGGTAGGCAGAACACACTATTCAACCCTGGGTTCGCAGTGACTACATAATGCTTTATGTACAATAATAAATTTAGTAAATATTTTTAGTAAATATTTGTGAATAGATATTTAAGTATACAAAAATTCCTAATGTTCATTTTAAAAAGCATTCAGCAATTAAACAAATATAGTTAGCTTGTTTGCATACTTTACTAGCTATAGTATTTCAAACTACCCTGTGCTATCATTTCAAGCATAAACGAATTAAGAAATTCTTGTGGACTTTTAATTTATAATATATACTTATTAACTCACATTTATTCATTAAACATTAAGCATTCATTATTAACAATAAGAAGAGCCCATATTCAGAATACCACAATGACAGGCACTCCCAACATGAAACCACTATTACAAATTACCATCTGCAGTGCAGTAGCTAAGATGTTTGAAATGCAGTGAGATAGTGAGGTTAAGCTT